GTTTTGCTAAGAGACATGCACACACGTCAGTCTAGTTATCGTACTATATGATTAAATGAGATTGCATGCACGTCTTGGTCTATAACAAACTTAAATCATTTGATTTATAGAAGACTTTATAGAAGACTTTATAGAAGACATATTACTAGTACTCCCAACCAAGTCAAATCGGAATCTTAAAACAATTGATTTGGTCGGAATTTTAAAACATTTTCTTTAATTACACTACCAAAAAAAGGAAGAGTAATTACGACTTGTCGCAAATTTTGACGCAAATGTTTAGCGACACATTTGTTATTTAATTGCAAAACGACATAGCAAACCAAATGGCAATTTCTTCTTTAAAAAACAAAAAAAAAAACCAAATGGCAACATTTGTGACCAATTAACAACCAACGGCTAAGTCGCAAATTTGCAAAATTGCAACATATAAAATCTATAGAAATTTAATATTTCGTCGCAAACAGTGAAATTAGTGAAATTAATATTTTAAAGAGCAATGGAGCTATAAAGAGAAATGGAGTTCATTTAATTAAAATCAATTTTATTTGGTGAATTGTGAAGAGACATGAAGTTCATTTAGTTTTACAATTAGAGAATTATATTGTTGTACGCAGTAAACCATAGAGGCAAAAAGTCTAAGAATATCCATGTGCTGCACCTCTTCAGAGATTAGTCTGGATCCCTCTATAGACCTAGAATTTACCATGAATCATAAAAAAAAAAAAAGTCAGTCTAAGAGAGATAGCATTTTAATTGCATATTTGGTGAAAGAAATTAATATGCAAACCCTTAAAATTATTGTGGGAATATTCGAAAAACCTTAGTCTTTCACTTTAAAAAATTAAAATGAATATTTTAAACAGTAGACACCATAACTTGATCATCATTCAAACAAATTGCTATAACTTATAGATAATATTTTCAATATAAAACTACGAACTGAGATTTTTTTTCTCTGAAAATTAATTTAGTTACAGACTCGGAGTTCACGCCGTCACGTTATCTTTTGATCCAGATTCCTAATGATATTCAAACAAACAAACTATATTGCAAATGATAGTGTAATCACTCGATAATGAAAGGAGAATACATAAAACAAACTCATATAATTTTCGTTATCTTATGGAATAAACTATCCATAGTAATATCATTAGCATCTCGAAACCTCTCAAACTTAGCATTATAATCGATAGTAATACCATAAGCATGCGACGGGAAGGCATGTTCAATAATTGTTGTTATGAAAATTTCAGTGTGGAAGTGAATAGACAGGGAAGAAAACAAAGGTACTAATTAATGGGTGAATATTAGGGAAATTTGAGGTCTAACGGGAAATCGATACTTTTTCATTTCTACGGTAAACAGTATGTGAACCTATGTTGTATGGAATCAGAAGCGGGTACGCGGAAGCGAAGCGTTTGGAAGCGCGGAATCGATTTTTTACAATTTTTCAAGAAGCGGTTTGTGTTGGAAGCGT